TTTTTTAATTTTGTGGACGGTGCCATTTTTTATTTCATTTATATTATTTCTTTTGTAGATAAATTTCCAACCTTTAACTGATATTTGGAAATAGGAGCTGAAAGCCAGCCCCAGGTTCAGCCAGTTTTCTTTGGTCCTGTCCCTTATGTTTTTTGGATCATTTTGCACGGCCAGTTGTGCTCATGCACAAGACAGAAACAACTCAGGCTGAGAAAGGAGTGAGCTAAGAACTGAAGAACCTTGCAGAACATTACACTAACGTTGTGTGCAGTGGAGGCCAGGCTACCAAAATTAGGTGTCCTTACTCTATAGTCAATCCCTGGGAGATCTGGCCTGTGGCATTTCTCCCAGTAACCAGCAGTTTGCGTGCTGCCTTTCTCTGACATCTGGAATCCTATCTGCTGTTATACCACCAAGACCCAGCAGTAGGCCCAGCAGTCCAGCAAGTGTAATGAATTGCTTTGCTCTGGCTCCAAGAGTCAAGTACACCAATGCCCAGGGACATTTTGCTTAGAACTCTGAACCTGTTTGTGCATCAATGTTTTTGGACACATCTTTCCCAGGACGAGACCTGGTTTCTCTTTAATTGCGTTACTGTATGTTTCCCATTTTGAAGGGAATTTAAATTGCAGCTGGGTTTTATTTGAACACATTGTGTCTGAAATTAAGTGTTTTTTTCCCCCCTTGACATTTCTTGTGTTTGAGGTTTCTTGCATCTCTTGAACTTCTTATGTACTTGCAAGTCTGTATAATTTCTTTTTCATATGTCTTCTCATTGCAGTGCATTTGCTGAATGCCCTGCTCTGTTTTGAAAGGATGTAAACTATCATTTGCAACTTGTGCTGATCTGTACATGTACCTGCCTCAAGCAGACACAGCATGTAATAACCCCCAAGTCATTCCATATGTGTCAGCGGTGAGATGAGCCAAAGTTGTATTTGGGTTATCACAGTCCAACCGTGATTCTGTGCAACTCTGCTAACCCACCGGGTTAGACGGAAAGGAATCCCCACAAAATGAAAACAATTCAGTTAACTTTACTTAATAAACCTGGAAAGTGAGCTTTTGTGAAACATCTGCTTTTTGTCTCTTCTGGAATAGCTGCCAAGACCCTTGGTCAGGGTGCCGTCTGGCTGGCACGCACGCCTCTGCGCGCCTTCCTTCACATGCCGGAGCTGTGTTCTGCTCTCAAGTGTTTGCATAACTGCAGCGCGTCCCTGTGCTGCCAGAGCCGTTATGTTGGACAGGGCAAGAGTCATTCATAGTTTGATTCCCCTCATATGCAGTTTAAATATTTCTAACACTTCAGATTGTGACTCCCTCCCTCCTCCTTTTAAACGCAGCAGCAGATGCAACGCTGGAGCTCTGAATGAGCCTTTTGTCCGTGGTGGCTCATGCGTCTTGCTGATCCGTGGCGTGACTCTGGCATGTGGCAGAGTGAAATCCCTGGGGGTCAGCAACCGAACCCGCTGACATTTAAGTACTATTTCATTTCTACGTTTGCTCCTTACTGGGATAAGCAAAGCGGGCTCAATGTTTGGTTTCATTTGCTGCTTGACAGTGGTAAGATTTACTCTGTGACTGTGAGTAGCTGTGCAACTTGGCAGACGTTGTAAGTTCATCGTATACTGGTGGTCATGTTTTCCTAGCCATAACTTAAAAGCGGGAGGGGACAGCCGTTCCTGAAGGATATGCTACGGATGAAGGGCACCAAGCTTACTAGATAGAAAGCCTCCAGGCTGCGTGCAACGGTGCAGGACTGCACCAAAGACCATTGGCAGTTTTACTTTGCCTCCATCAATCTGTAAGATTAACCCTATGTACATGAGAAATATTGCCGACTGCAGGAAGGTTTTGTAACACTTGATTTTTCTCTGTGAGAGAAGGGTCTCATAGGGATTCCTTCCTGTTGCAAAACGAAATCTTGCTGAAGAGATCACTTTGAAAAATCTGTGTCTGAATTGGCTTCAGCCCCTGTGCAGTGGGATTCGGAGCCGCTGCCTCAGCTGTGGCAGAGGGCCGTACTCTGGCACGGTGTTGCGGGAACTCTGAAATCCCTGCGTGCAGGGGACGGTGCGCTTTGGTTATCGGTGGATGAACTATTGACAGGACTTGAGGGAAGCTGTTGAGGCTGCCCGAAGAGCTCCGAGTAACCACTTGGGGGTGCCAGCCCTGCAGTTTCCAACAGCTTAAAAGCTTTCTTGGAGCAGCTCCAGAGATTGCTCTGGGAATGAGTCCAGGCAAGTAGAGAGAATGTCCTGTGCTGCCCTGACTTTGAGGGATCCCTTGCATGTCCTTTAATATGAATGCTGTTTTTCGGTGTGCGGTAGCAGACTTCGCTCCCTTGTGTTTCACTGGCTTATGTTTGTACCAGCTTGGGAATAGGGGTTTGGAAGATACCTTTAGCAACCAAAGGAAAATACTGGCTCTCAGGAAGCGCAGAGTGAATGGTAGGTCCCACCACTCACCTATCTAAGCCTGAGCTGTCACTCTCTTAAGCTGGCTGCTGTCACTAAGCCTCTCCTACACCAACCTCTCTTCCTTCTGCTGAAAACCGTATTCACATTCACATGCTGATGCGCTGTTGCTGCAGGGATTGCCTTTGTTTATTCCCCCTCCTGCTGCAGAGCCTTGTAAAAAAGAGGTTCTAATTTTCATTGTCCCCTGCAACCCCCACTTCCACCTCCTAAAGAGCCCTTGAGACTGTAGGGGACAAATTCTGATGGGAGTCCCAGTGAGAGACGCGGGGCTGGTGTTCGGGTGCGTTAGCTCCACGGTGCAGAGCCTGGCGTTTGGAAGTGCTTGCCCGCCCGGAGCAGGTCATTTCTACCGCACATGTCTCTAGTCCGTAGTAAGTTTTGCCACATGCATTTGGGTATTTTCCCTTAGCCGTGTGTCCCTGGCATCCCCATCCTTCGCTTGCTCTTCGGCCTTGCAGGCGTGGGAGCAGACATGTCACAGGCTCAGCTCTGATCCCGTGGAGAAGGCTGTGCTCCCTGCTCACGTGGATGGAGCATGCTGGCCTCCAGACTCGCTGTGATGCTTACGATTTTACAGGCTTAAAAGTAGCAGGGAGCTGGTCAGGAAAGTCTTTTAAAAACAAAACAAAAATCCAAACATTCCTACAATACTTTATGACAAAATGTTTTTGTTACAGATTTTTTTTTTTTTTGTTAACTTTGGAATTTTGGGGTTTTTTACTTTGCATTTTACCATCTTTTCAGTAGCACCTCCCTGTGATCTCTGCTTTTGATGCTGTAACATGAAGGCAGCATGCTGTCTGTAACAGCACTGTTGAAATAGTGTGAAAAAAAGAAGAGCATGACCAAAACTAACAATTCCGAACCTGGCATCCCTGCTGTGGGAGGTGGGCTGTAACCGGGACACTACTGGAGAGCTGTAAAGCAAAATACATGCTGAAATTTCCTTTAAAATGGAAATTTGGAGCCCGTGCCAGCTCTGCTGCGGGCTCTGGCTCTCGGTGCGATAGTTACACAAGCCAGACCTTGGGAAACCTGTGAGTCTCTTTCGGATGGTCAGTTTGCATCACGGTGGAGCTGCTTTCCACCGCCGAGGCAGGAGGTGGGGCTGTGGAGGAGGAGGGGGCAGTGAACCTGCTCAAACAATGGCAGGGGCACTGCTGCGCTGGCCTGCAGAGTAGTGGCATGGGAGGTGCGCGAGCCTGGGGGATTTCTGGGAGGACCAAGAATAAAATCTTCTAGCAGATTTTGGCTGGGAGGAGGAGGAAAGGTTTTGATACAGTTATAGAGACGGGACCCTGCATCTCTTCTGTTTTTATTGATCCATCAAGAGGGCACAGGCTTAAAAACACCTTTAACTTAAAATAAACATTGGCAACAGTGTTAGAAGGAGAAAAGAGGGATTGCTGCAGAAGGGCAAGCCCTGGCATGACAGTCCTCTCTAGCTGATGAGCGTCTGTTTGGTTGGGTTTTTTTCCTGTAAATGTGTTTTTTAGTCAATACTTTTCTAGGAGAGCCTACAAGAGCCAACAGTGATGGGATCTGTGATCCCCATCTGCAGGATACGAACATGTCTTGAGCATGTGTGGTCTTTACTGCCCTGCCTGAAGGAGGAGGTTGGCGTGTCCCCGTGTCCCCGCTGCCCTCCCCTTCCTTCCTGGGGGCTGAACAGAAGGGTTTTGCCCTGCACAGCCAGCTTTGAAACCTGGTGAAAGACTCTGCCTCTGATGATCACGTTTCATCCGTGCAGGCTCTCGGGAGGGGGAAGCCATTGCGAGAAGAGGCACACGGTAAATTCAGATGGGCTGTGGGGCCGGGGGCTTGTCCCCATTTCCTCTTCAGCCTGGAGGAAAGTCAGGCAAGGTCAGGGCTGAAGCACACTTGATTCCTGCCCTGAGCTTTGCGAGTTCATTCACTGCATTCCTGAGCGAGCGTGAGTAACATAAATTCAGCATCTTTCTGCAGACAGCTTCCTCCTCTCCCGCCTGCAAGGGGACTCTCCACCTGGATGCAGTGCTCTGCGGGATGCTGGCAGCGTCACAGCGAGC